TAAAAATTAATATTTTTATTTAAAATTAATAAATTTAATATTTTTAAATAAAAAATAAAAATTAACATTTTTATTTATATATTTTCCCTAACTTTGCTTCTTGGAAATCATCTGTGACGTATTAACGAAGAAATTTGAAATTTCATGTCGAATTCCCAATCTATATCCATTAGCCGCAACGAGGGACGAAGCTAGAAATTGAAGTTAGGGGAGACGAAGGATAGGTTAAAATTTTTTTTTACTTATTTATTACTTCACGTTAATATAATTTAAATTAATTTTTATATTAATTGTTTATTTTATGTATATATCACTTATATTTATGCATAAAAAAACTTTAAAATAATTAGATATATTTAGTTTTGTCAAAAAAAATTAGATATATTTAGTTATTTTTAAATGATATGTATTTTAGAATCCCTAAATAAAAGTACAAAATATAGTTTATTTTTAAATGGTTACCTATATCATAAAAACATTAGATTTGAAATGTATTATTTATATAAATAGAATAAATTCAACCATTGTTTTCGTAGTATATAAATTGTACAAAAAAATTATATATAACTAATACAAAAATTTATTTAAGTTATATCAATATAATTAATTAGATTTTCACTATTTTTTAATATTTTTTTATCTAGACCAAATTATCATATCTTAAAAATTAATCACAAAGACAGAAAGAATTCTTTTACTTACATCCTAAATTTTTTTTTTATCTTTGAAATGGTCCCAATAATTTAAAACCTCAAAAAACAAAATTTTGTTGAAAATAAAAATTAATGTACCATATTTAAAAATTTTTAAAAGCTTAGGGGGGCAACTGCCCCCCCTTGTCCTACCTTGGCTCCGTCCCTGGCTGCAATATTATTTCTTCCGGTAAAAAGAGCATTTACCGTTTCACCTTGTGTTACTAACGACCTGTTGGTTCGAGTGGAAGGAGTTCGATTTTTCTTAAATAAAGTCTTGAGTTTGAATCTTGTGAATGGAGAAATAGGTGCTGTGAGAGCTTCCTCCCTGATAGGGTCCGACGCGACTCGATTCTAAATTAGTCGGTACTCAAAGTGATTACTAAATACTGAGAGGTTAATACAAAACAAAAAAAAAAAAAAAGCATTTACCGCCATTCCAGGCTACTATTTTAAAAAATAAAGCCTACGAATCTAGCTAGGCGTAGTCGTGTGGAATGGTAAAACTTGCATTTACCAACTTTAACCCGGTCAGCAATTTAGTAGTGGAAACTAATAGTGTTTTTTTTTTTTTTTTCTATTACCTTAAAAGTTTGAAGGCAACTAATAGTATTGTTTGGAGTAGAAGGGGTAACAAGTTCATAACAGCCACAAAAATTAGTAAATTTGTTTAA